TTTATCATTTTTCATTTTTGTCTTTTTGTTTTGAAAAAGTATCAGGAATATATGCCTAGAACCCATAACATATTCGAAGCAGATCATAACTTAAGGGTATATTTTCCCAACTCTCTTTAAACGATAATAAAGTGTACCTCAATGCTACACTTTTATTTTGAATAATAGTGTCATTTATATTTTCATGGAACTAGGTTCAGTGAGAACTTAATGTTTCTGTGTGTGTTGTTACTCAATATGAGTTATTCAATAGTGACATATAAATATCAACGCGTCCATGGCCGTCCTTTGATTTAGCTTAAATTTTCCTAGACGAATGTTTTTTTTTCTGCACATGTAGAGTAAATATGACTTTGGAAATCATTTACTCTCTTTAGAAATGCATGATTTTTCTAAATATAATTGAAAAAAAAATCCACAAAGAATTAAAAAAAAAATCATAACTTGAATTTAAAATTACGGGATGTGTTTTATTTATTTATTCTGTCCATCCTCTTAAATGTGAAACGTGTACTTAAGAAAATGGAAGACAATAAATTTCATGTTCGTCTAAAATTTCATTTTGCCTTATAATTCTTACAAGGCATTATGACAAAAAACCCTTGACATATCCTTTTGTGAAACTGTACATTGTATGCACGTAAAGGCCGGTTGTATACCGGTAAGATTTGTATTATAAGATTTGTTTTATTATACAAAAGCTTACTGTGTATACATTCTTTATACAGTGTATCATAAGATTTTTCGAATCTTATAAAACTGTATTAAGAATTGAGCAATGCTCTATTTTCTAATACTAGTCTTCCCTTACCTATCACTTTCAACCAATGAAATGTAATGACACTAGGGGTCATCCTATTTTTATCATTACAAAAAAACTTATGGTAAATAATAATGATAGTCTTTACAAGTAAAGACATCGAAAAACTTGTAGCTTAATGGAGAAGGGAAAAGGACTTGTGGAATATATCAAGCAGTGCATAGTACGATGATAGACACTATCAGAGCCTTATCCTCCATTTTTATTACTTTGACAGAGAGATGAATATGGCGGGGGAGAACAAGTTGGAATACGTAGTTTATTTACAATCTTATAAGATATGTATAAGCGTGAGTACAGGAAAGTATTATAATACAAAAGTATTATAATACTTGCATGATACTAAAAATCTCATCGAGTGTACCGGCCTTATAGGTTTATTCTGCGCCCACAACACATAATATTATATTATAGTGCCGTACATGTACTAGTGTCCTGTACCAAATATGAAATTTGTTCAATAAAAATTATACTGTAATACACAATTTTAATTAAATCAAGTTTAAAATTTGTTGGTGGACAGTAGTGCAGTCTTTGTAACACAACACTTCTGACATACCGTATATTACTTGTAAGTGGAAATTTTAGCGAGACGCAAATTTAGCGATTCTACCTAACAACTGGTATTTTATTTTTAGCGAGAAGTAAGTTTAGTAAAGTTTTAAATGCTAACTCAAGAAGCTATTACAAATAATACGCAATTAATAGTTAGCAATAATAAACTTTAGTGATGTCATCATTCTCGCTAATAATGCCAAAATTAAAAACTTGCTAAAAATTCTACTTATACGGTTCATAATAGCTGAACACTGTGTCCCTAGACTACGGGTGCTCCTCACTTTCCAGGCACCTACCCCATCTCTGTTGTTTCAGGGATCCGTGTTTATCCTGTTAAGGATCCGTTATTAGGACAGGATTTATGAAATTGTTTACTGTTCATTCTCTTCATCATTTTTCGCGTACATGTATGTTCAACGTATCAAAAATATAGTACGGAAAATATTAGGTAATTGAACTTCTTTTTACTCGTATCATCAAAAGAAAAATTTACTAAGAAGAGCTATAATTACAGTGTACCCTCTTAAGGTACGATTCACCTCTGGTTTCTGACTAGATGAAATTTTCAAAGTATATTTGATTATATGTCTTATAAGTTATATACTCAACAAAAAAAAAAGAAACGCATGTTGTTTTACTCGTCAAAGAAATTTTTAAAATGTACATGGAACAACTATTTTTTATATCATTGGATACCTGTGACCTATTTAAAGGACAACATGAGGTTTTAAAACCCAAGTGTTGAATTATCTCCCTTGATTAAATATGTTTATGAAAGTAATGTTTTTCATGATTTCTTCTAAATCGGATGTCTATTTTCGTTGATATTTTGGATTTAGAGAAACTATTAACACTCCTATTAAACCCATATTTAAGATTTGATTGAAGTGTTGATGCTGCAATGCCACGCCGAAACAAAGATGAATACAACCAGGCTAACGATGATACTAAACGGAGCTACGCAACAGGAAGTTGCATCTGTATTTGGAATAAATCAGTGGGCTTTGCAACCGTTAAACTAACGTCTGAAGACCATTATCTGGCCATCTGCAGGTAACCACAACCAGGCAGGACCGTCAGACACCCCCCCCCTTCAGCACATCATGCTATTCAGAACTTGCTGTAAAAACTGCTGCTACAATTGCTGGATGAAGAAAATCAGCATAAAAGTACATAAATTGTTCGCAAGAGACTGAAAAGAGATGGTATTCCTCCACGATAGCCGTACATTGGACACCCACTAGATTGAGACGTCGCACAGTACATATTGTTATGCCCCTTGAATTTTGAAACCTTTTGACTTTTCAATTTGCAACATAGGACATGTTTGATTTTTATCACAACACACTCTAAAATCGCTTAAATAAAATACGGTTTAAACTGAAAACTTAGATTTTCAACAGTATGACATTTAACTCTGGACACGACATAGTCCAGACTTTTTACTACCATTTCTAATTATGATATCAAAATTATTTTATATCACTTGGTGGGATTTCTTAGCAGTATTTCAGGGTCTCATGTTGAACTCACAAACATCTCCACTTCTAAAGATATGAAGTCCTAAAACTCGGAATCCCATGGGAGAATGATGGGATTTTCTGTCCCACCAACAATCCCACCATTCTCCCATGGGAGAAAAATGTCAGATGGGATATTTTCTCCTGTGGGATCTTTCCTCCCACCAATTTGTTCAAATGGGATAAATCCCAAGGAAATTGACAATCAAACAATATCTCCCATTTATTGTGAAACATGGAATATATCCCACGAATTATAACAATTACAAATATCTTGTCATGATATATAGAAAATATACCTACTATAACAATATATTTGTGAAAATAATTCATTGTCAATATCCGTGGGGTTAATCCCATTTGAACAAATTTGTGGGAGAAAAAAATCCCACAGGAGAAATTATATGACATTTTTTCTCCCATGGGAGAATGGTGGGATTGTTGGTGGGACAGAAAATCCCACCATTCTCCCATGGAATTCCGAATTTTAGGACTTCATATCTTTAGAAGTGGAGATGTTTGTGAGTTCAACATGAGACCCTGGAATACTGCTAAGAAATCCCACCAAGTGATATAAAAATATTTTTGATATCATAATTAGAAATGGTAGTAAAAAGTTTGGACTATGTCGTGTCCAGAGTTAAATGTCGTACTGTTTTTCATATTATTCTGAATATGCGTTTCTTTTTTTGTTGAGTATATATTTAGGTGTAAGAGATTTTAAAAACCATATTTTTCTTTCCTCAGAACAATTGTACAACTTTAAGTTGAAATGGTAAATCGCGTTTGAAAACTAGTAGGGACTTTTTTTTTAGGCGGAATTGTGGCGATGAAAATATCTTCTTTTCTGCTTCTCAAAATTATTATAGAACTACGAATTATATTAAGTTATAGTTTTTACACAATCAAAGACTTGATGAAGTTTTAAATGTAATTTTAATTAATAGAGTAAGTACTACACTTCCTTAATACCCGGTATATCAAATAAATATGATTTTTTCAAATAAACTAGAATTATGTTAGCTTTTGTAAGATTCCAATCTGAGCACAGATTTGACCCAAAAATCCGTAAAAAGTATTTTTTCTCTCTTAGTAAACGACCAGAGCATTTTGTATTTGAATCATTTTGTATCTATATGTGACAACTTTACGATATGTCAAAATGAGAAAAATTTATAGGATTAAACGTTCTTTTTTTCCAGAATTTATCGATGTGTAAACTCTGCCTTTTTCCTCACAAACTAAATGAAAGTGTAAAGTTTGTGAGTAAAAAGGTGGAGTTTAACACGTCGTTAAATTCTGATTAAAAGAACGTTTAATTCTTATAATTCCAATTACGAATTTTTAAAATTATTAAAATTATTTCTCATTGAGGCCGCCATACAATCCGTTATTTTGTACGGCGTAGGAATACTTTATGTCGCAAAGAAACGTATAAAAGATGAATATCGATAAAATCCATCTCAAATTGTCAAAACAATCAATCAATAAACTTATAAAAACTCATTGAATGTTGTTTAAGTCAACAAATATCGTAAATACGAGCAGAGAGCTACAGATCCAATCATTCTAAAATCCTCGTTTTTAAGCCGCCAATTTTGTTAGCTCACTTTGGGCATTGATTCTTGCATTATATACTTTCCTGAAGTTTAAAAATGTATTAAATAATTAATCAAACATTTAATTCTACTTCCTGATATTAACTTACCTTTCAACCCAATGCCAACAAAAGGTCGTTTGTGGTCAAGGACGTCGAAATGAGACTCTTTTAAAACGACATTTAAAAACTATCCAGAGAAAGCATAAAATTCAAGAAATAATACCTAAATTATCGACAAAAAATGGACATGTTTTCCAGGGGTCTGTAACTCATTGCAAGAAACTCTGGAATAATTGTATAAGTTACTTCAATAAGGTTTCAACTTTCAGTAGATAAAATGCATGTACAATTTGACGACTTCGCATAAGTATTAAGTTTTATTTTAATTTCTCTTTTTCGTGTAACACTGTATGGTTGAGAACAGATGTTCATCAAACCTACACCATTTGATACACAATAAAATTATATAGTTTGTATTATATACACTTGTTCATTGACAAAATTTATTTTTTCGATACGAACGGAACTACCCATAGCAAAGGTATTCTCTAAGAAAAATAGACTCCAAAACATTTCCTTTCAAATTCTTAACTAATTTTCTAAGTAAAGAATCTTGTATGTTTCTGTATGAATATTAGATAATATGTTGATTTGAATATCATTTTTATGTCGTTTTCCCACATTTTTATTAGATAATGGCGGTACGTGTATATCTTGTCCTGGTTTTTATTCTTCACACGACGCATGGAGAACAGACACAGACCGGAATCTGTAAAGATGTTTTACAAGGTTACCTGACAGGGAAACTTTCGTATCAGGTAGAGACCTTAAAACAGGAATTCAAAAGCTTCAAAGACGTCATCAACGTCATTGAGGAATCGATGAAAAAGTTCAAGGACGCAGTTAATGCTAGCATACAGGAAGGAGGTATGATTCTAATTAGTGTGTTCCCATTTCGCCTTAACTGTGAAATTCAGGTAAGAAAAAGTCAAAAAGTACTAAGGCGAGATGGGAATTTTGATATTTGTAAATATTATTATAATTTAAATTTTAAAAATTTAATAAGATTGAATTTAACAGTTAATTGGAATTTATGAATACAGTGAATGAAATAATACAGTCATATAATACGAAGTATTTAAAAAAAATGAATTCAATCTTCATCACCTTACTTCACCAGAGAGCTCACTAAGGCGAAATGGGAATGTTAAATTTTACAGTTAAGGTGAGATGGGAACAAACCCTCTAATGTACATGAATAGTGCCTATGAATTATTATTAATTTATTATTATTTTATTCCATGTATTAAAAAAATGTTTTGGTAGGTACTGGAAAAAGAGACATTATATATACAAGATGGGGAAAGAAAACGTGTCCTTCAAACGCAAAATTAGTCTATTCAGGTAAATAAATTCTACATTTTTTGAAGTTGATTAAAAAATTTCTGCTGTTTACTTTTTGTTTGCCAATATACATAATTATTATAATTTAGCAGTGTAGGATAAAGAGAAAAAATATAAAGAAATAAATAAACAAATAGATAGGTACAGACAGACAGAAAGAAATCCATTTTTAATAAATGAAATTACGTTTGAGAAAATTTAATAGGATTCGTCGGAGGATCGAATCCTGGTTATTTAGGATCAGCTGTAGAACCTCTTTGTTTACCACGGGACCCAGAGTGGGGGCTGTACAAGGATGGATTTGAAGGAGATAAAGCTTACGTATTCGGAGCAGAGTACGAATCATACACCTTTACAAGTCACTTTACTTCCCTACATAATCATGATGTACCGTGTGCCGTGTGCCTTGTTCAAAATAGATCTGTAGTAAAAATGTTTCCAGGTGAGAAAATATCGTTAATACAAGTTAACTTTTCTTTTTGTTTTAAATTTGCATATTAGAAATTGTACAGTTATCTTTTTTTAGTTACAAGTGAGAAATTAATAAAAT